ATGGGATATTATTGTTAGGAATTTAAAATTCAACATGAGATTTTAATATTTGAAACGTAAAAGTATATCGTTAAATTAATTATTAAATATTAATATATTATTTAGACTTATTAAAATTTGCTATAATATACTATTTTATTATTCTGATTAGTTTATATTTATTTAATTATTTAATTAAATTAAGTTATTTAATTATCACTCCTACCTATAATTAAATTATAATTTAATTAACAAAAATAGTAAAACATGTACGTATTATATTAAAACTATAAAATTATAATTGATTAAAAATATTAACAATTATTAATTAATAATGTTAATATTTCATATATAATTTTTTTTAATTTGGTTTATATTTAAAATTGGTTAAATGAACTTTAACCTTTTATTCATAATTATTTTATAAAAATTTTGTTTCCAATAATTTAAATTAAAGAAATAACTTAATTTAAATCCTATAAACTTCTAAACAATTAATTTATAAAAACTAATATATATATATATATATATTGTAATTTAAAATTAAAATTTACCAACCAATTAAATTTCCTAAAATACGGTCAATAATTTTTTAAAAGCTTTAAAAATAAAATAAATAAAAACTGGACAGGAAAGTTAGGAGTACCCCACTATTTAAATGCGCCTTTAATCTATATCGAATCTTTTTTTTTCAGAAAGAAAAAAAGGAAATTTTCAATCTGGGCTCACAAAATTACCAAACTACCCCTGTCGACGTGGAATTGTCGCGGCCGTAGATTGGTGTATTATTCACATGTGAACACAAGAATAGAATAACGGAATGGATTTGTATTTTTCTCCCAACACGTGGAAATTCGAATAATTATTAGTGAATTATAAATAATTCTCTCGCAAAATAATTAAAATAAATGCATATTTTATTTTTAGATTTATGCTCATTGGATAAAAATACCCCTACCTATCTATTTTATTTTAAAAATATTTTTAAATTTTTAAAAGTTTAAATAATACTCTTAAATTTTAACAAAATTTCAAAAATACCTTCCAATATCCTTTTATTTAAAAAAAAAAAAATCAAAAAGTACTCACGGCTCTATATTTAAAAATTCTATGAAATTTTAAAAAATATTATTTTATTTAAAATTCATGAATATTTTTTCAAAAAAAATTAGTTCAAAGATGTTTTTAAATTTTTTTAAAAAGTTGATTTTTGAAAATTTAATTATATATTTTAAACTCTTTTTATGGTGGCCTTAATTAGTTTTTTCTATTTACTGCTCTTTCCTATCAGGAATAGAATCTAAATCTATAATCACTCGTATTATTAACTACTAACGAATGAGTCTTAAAAAAAAAGGGTTCTGTTATATATAATATAGTGACGTTATACTTACGGTTCTCGCAAAAGAGAATTTTGTTTTAATTGAAAAATAGTTGTTTCTCACCTGTTATATCAAATTCACATAAGAATATGAAGAACTTTTTTAGTAAAATCTCGTTTACTAAAAAAATTTGTATTCCAAGACAGAACAAAAAGGACAATATACAGGATGGGTAGAAGAAGATGTGATACTTGGCTTGATCCATGATCTGAAACGACGTTACGGGATATAATATATTAAACGACTACACCAATTCTAAGGGTCCATGATCTTTTCTCACCGTTCGAATCAGTCCATTTGTTGTTGTCAAGAAAGACGGTTTTCCGCCATCAAAAATGATTTTTTTTTTTTTTTTTTATTGAGATTATGGGATTTTATATTTTAGCTAGACGTTTTTTATTATGTTTGGTGGTTGAAAAATTTGAGGAAAAAAACAAGAGAACTTAAAAAAAAAAAAAAATTAAAATTGGGTTTTTTCGTTTAAGAAAACTTCAAAGAAATTGATTATTTAATTATTAAAATTATTTAAAATTTTAGACATACTTAGAAATGACAATTTCTTAAACTTTTTATTAAAAAATTAAAGAAATCAATTTAATTTTTAAAGGTTCAAGAAAAAAAAATTAAAAATATTAATGATTTTTGTTTATATATTAATACTAAGAGTATTTTTTAAATGTAATAATATTTTTTTAAAATAAAAAAAAAATAAAACTTTCAAATTTTTTATTTTATTTTATTTTATTTATTTATTTATTTATTTAAAACTATGGTCGCCCAACTATTTTGACTTGTGACCAAATTTGGGGAAGAAGAAAGGTATTTATACCAACTTTGTTGAAAGGGACATTGATGGGCCAAGTTACATAAATAAAGAGAAAATGTAAGAACCATATTTGATTATTTTTACTATAAATTTTTAATTTCTTTGTATTAGAATAGTACACGTGGAATAAAGGTTAGTATGAAAACAAACCCGAGAAAGAAAAAATAAAAAGGAAAGAAATGTAGAGTGGAGTTAAGTACGAAACTATCGAAACATACGAGGGTATCATGTTCAAACAATAACTTAAATGGTGTAATAGTCTAAACTCACCCCTAGTAGATATTGTCTGTTTTTGTCTGTTACGTATTGCCGTTAGCCTTACGATTTTAAAACGTATCTACTAAGGAGAGGGATTTCCGCACCATTATAAGGAATGTTTCGTTAAGCTCTCCAACTGATGTGGGATCTCATAAATGATCTATAATAATATAGATAAGGTTGAGTGTTTTATCCTAATAACAATATTGAGACGATTCACTTTGTAATTACCACAAATGATTTGATCTAAATTGTTAAAATCTCACGTCGATTGGAGAAGGGAGTAAAACATTTCTTGTAAGAGTGTGCAAAATATCTCCGTAGTAGACGCGTTTTACAATCGTGAGATTAACATCGATACGTAACAGGTCAAAGTAAACAATATCTACTAGCGGTGAACTTGGTTGTTATGGTTCATGTAGAGTTGATTATATGTAATTTTAGTGAGGCTGACGACGATACGTAATGGGCCAAAGCAGACAATATTGGCTAGTGGTGGGCTTGAGCTGTTATAAATGGTATTGGAGCTTGACAATATCTACTGACTGTGTGTCAACTAGGACGATGGCCCTCAAGAGGGATGGTTCGTGAGATCCCACATAGGTTGGTGAGGAAAACGAAACATTTCTTATAAGGGTGTGGGAACCTATTCCTAACAGACGCGTTTTAAAATCATGAGGCTAAAGGCGATACGTAATGGACCAAAACGGATAATATCTGCTAGCAGTGGGCTTGAGTTATTACAAATGGTATCACAGCCAGACAATATCTACTAGCGGTGTGGCAACAAGAATGTTAGGCCCTCAAGAGGGATGGATCATGAGATCCCACATCGGTTGGTGAGAAAAACGAAACATTTCTTATAATGGTGTGGAAAGCTCTCTAAAATACGCGTTTTAAAATCGTAAGGCTGACAGTGATACGTAATGAACTAAAACAGACAATATCTGCTAGCGGTGGACTTGGGCTGTAACACATTTTTTTTGGGTTGAAACCTTTTGGATTCGGTTTCTTTCGTAAGTGTTTATATTTGTATTTGATTTTCACTTTCAAAGTGGATTGGATCTAATCCACGATCCTAATTGACTCAACCCACATCCCGCACGCTGACTTGAGTTGACTCCCAACATTCGCGGCTCTATCCAACCGCGTTCCTAACCATGGCTCGCGCTTGGACTGACGTCCTATGCTCGACTCACTCTTGGCTTCACTTAGCTTCGACTCAACTTAGGCGACTTAGATGTCTTAGATTGGAACGATAAATCATTTTCTATTATTTAAAGTCAGTATGACATCTGTTTAGCCAATTAAAGTATCATTAAACCAAAAGTTGAATTAATTGATGTCGTTAGTTAAGTTAAATCATTTAATATTATCTCAACCCGATAGTGTGGGGCTCTTTGAATTTCAAGGAGTAGATTCAAGTTAGCATTAAGAAAGTATGATGACTCCGGCTTAGGCCAACAAAGTATGTGGTCTTACAGTTAGATACACATAGACTTGGTCGGATGACTTGTGTGTAGTATGAATGATACATACGCTATGGCCCCTTTACATGTCATATTTTTAGGATGCTATAGTGTGTTACGTATGATATGATATACATTACATTGTGATATGAATGTTTATGATGCATATACTTCTAGTATGTCACACCATGTATATTATGATAACATTGATGAGCAATGTATGTTAACCATGATAGATATGTCGAGTATATATATGCATGTTTCATAGAACATTATGTCGTGAAAGGAATGGAAGTCTGGTTTCCATCATAATTATGTACTATGATTAGAAACTATGGGACCTCATGCATGTTGTATGTCACGAGCATTGGAATACTTACCTAATATTTAAAAGGTTACTGTTAGGTGAGAGATTCGTATAATTAAAATGATTTAAAGGGTTAGTGTGTGATTAAATCGAAAATAGAGTCCAAGCGGTAACAAAATATTTGAAGAAATCAAGTTTGACAATGAAATCGAGAGTGACCATGAGCTATGATTGAACAACAAGAACGGGAATTACATATAGTAAATTTCCATAAACATATTATAACTTTGTTGAGAGAAAGAGCGGGAGGAAATGTAATAGCAAACGAGAACGAGAATAAACAGACTAGAAAAAATAGTCAATATAACCCTGAATCTGTCGCTAAGATCACCAATGCTTGAACTGGATAAGAAATAACTATAGATTGAGACCATTGAAACTCTTTCGGAAGATAGACCAACTCAGAGAGAATATTTCGTTAGAGATAACTAAATAGGATCACCCACCTTCACGAATTCCTCGGTAAGACTCGCTAGATATACTCGGACCCGTGGGCAACCTTTTTATGAATAGCTACCCCAATTAGAGCATCCCGTAACACTATCTGCTGATTGGTGTAAAACGAGCTTAGTTCATGTTGGGCTCGACTAGCTACGATAAACTATGTCCTTGCTTGGGTAAGCCAGTCGGATGAGAGAGTAGTCTCGATAAGAACTACAAAGGTTAAAATTAGAAACTGAGTTTAAAAACAAAGTAAATAAAGGAGAGATTTTTTCCTAAATTTTTAAAACCTATTGTCCGCCTCTCCCTTCTGGGAGCGCCCTGTTTCATTTCTACCAAAAATTCGCAGCAAATCGTCTGAAAATCTGTATTTTTGCGCTATAATCTCTCTTCAATTCTCAAAGTTGTGTTTCATTTGATCTTGTTTTGAGCTTTTTCTTGTTTTTGATTTCGTGTTCTGAAGAATATGAATCTCCTCCTTCGCATTCGCATTCAGTTCTTGAGGAATTCCATTAACCAGCTCTGTAACTCGATTCCATCGAATCCATATTTCGTTTGTCTCAGAAGATTTTCATTTCATTCATTGTTGTTGAATACTGATCATGGTAACTTCAGCCATATTCTCCGTCTATCTCAAATCCAAAACTATCCAGCTCCCGTCCTCTCTTTTACGAAATTTTGTTTGAATTTCTACTCTAATAGGGCACCTTCAAGATCCTTTAGGAGGAGAGCGAGTAAGAGATTGAAATCCAGAATCAAACCTAAGCTGAACGAGGCCCAATTTCAGCAGGCAATTTCTCAAATCCCTCCAAGGTTTAACTCCGAAGAACTCTATAATGTCATTTCTGTTCAGGGAGATCCTTTGGTGTGCTTTGAACTGTTCAATTGGGCCTCCCAGCAGTCTCGTTTCAGACATGATGTTTCCACTTATGAGATTACAATTAAGAAGCTGGGTGAGGCGAAAATGTACGAAGAAATGGATAATGTTGTGAACCAGGTGCTTGCTGTTCCTTCTATTGGTTCTGAGACTCTTTACAATACTATGATATATTTTTTTACTGAGGCAAGGAAGTTGACTAGAGCTATCAATATATTTAAGCATATGCAGAACAACAGAAACTTGAATTGTAGGCCTTCAATTAGAACCTATAATCTGCTTTTTACTGCATTCTTGAGTCGGGGTCGTAATGCTTATATAAATCACATGTATATGGAGACTATTAGATGCCTGTTCAGACAGATGGTGAATGATGGCATTGAACCTGACATATTTACTTTAAATTGTATGATAAAGGGGTATGTGCTATCCCTTCATGTCAATGATGCTCTCAGGGTCTTCCACCAAATGGGTGTTGTTTATAGTAGCCTCCCAAATTCATTTTCCTATGATTATTTGATTCATGGGTTATGCGCGCAAGCGCGAACGGATAATGCGAGGGAGTTGTGCAATGAAATGAAGGAAAAGGGGTTTGTGCCAAGTAGTATATCATATAATTCAATTGTTAATGCTATGGCTCTCAATGGAGAGGTTGAAGAAGCAGTGAATTATTTGTGGGAGATGATTGGTAATAGAAGGTCTCCTGATTTTATTACATATAAGACGGTATTGGATGAACTGTGCAGGCAAGGGAGGGTTGGAGAAGCCACGAGTTTGTTGAGGGAAGTGCAGGAGAAGGAACTTGTGGATGGTCATACTTATAGGAAACTTCTCTATGTGCTTGAAGATGACTATGGAAATGTAAATGGTGGATGGCCATGATCTGGAATCATGGATCGTGTGGTTTTTGAAGGTAGGATGGACTCGTGACGTTTGATATCAGAGCCACGCTTTGTGTTTTAGTTGGATCAAGCAGATAGAAAAGCGGCCTGTCTTGATTTCTCCCAGTGGTTGTTGTGTATCAATGGAAGGTTTACCGATGCCATTTGCTGAAAAGTTAGAAACCTATGATTTATTCAGATGCTTTACTTAATTTAGTTATAGATCAAGAAGATTCTTCTGGAGAATCATCAATCAATTGTGGCTACTAGGCTTAGAGCTGGTGCATATCTTTTCTTCAAGAGTTACAGCTGGTGCATATCTTTTGTGGCTACACGGCTTAAAAACGCTACAAATATTAGTCAATCAGCGAGGTAAAAAGTCTAGCAGCTTCGCTCCTTCACCTATTGGTAAAGTAACTTCGCTCCTCTCCTTTACGGTCTCACAATTTCATTGTCTGAACCTATCGGTAGAGCAGCTTTGCTTCTTAGACGACACCTATTTACCAAGAAAAAGAGAAAGAGATAAGCTATTCCATTGTTTGAACTTATCGGTAAAGCAGCTTTGCTTCTTAGCCGACACCTATTTACCGAGAAAAAGAGAAAGAGATAAGCTATTCCATTGTTTGAACTTATTAGTAAAGCAGCTTTGTTCCTTAGCCGACTCCTAAAAGGAGTAAGAGATAAGCTATTCCATTGTCTGAACCTATTAGTAAAGCAGCTTTGCTTCTTAGCCGAGAAAAAAGAGTAAGAGTACGAGAAAAAGAGTAAGAGATAAAAGCTTATTGAGACTTCTTTAATAGCTTACAAATGCTTTTCTTCTCAACAACGTAACAACTTTTGAACAGTACTTGAAGCAGTGAAGCACTTGGACTTAGTTCATGAATCCAACTGTATACTGCTGGTACATTCTCACATCCCTTCATTTCTTTTCATATAATAGGTGTATTCTCATGCGAAGCAGCCGTCTTTGTGGGACTTGAATTATATGATATCTTCTCCAAAAGAAGCTCGTGATCCCTTTATGGCTTTTCCCCCCATCAAGTTCAAGGTACTTTTTTCAAGCTGAGTTCATTAGTCCAGCAGGATAGTGCTATATTTATAGTGCTCAAGACATGTTTCAATTTTTGACTAGTGGGTTGTTGTCTAGTAGAATTTGCATTTAAGAACATGAAGAATTGAAGTAAAACAACACTTGAGATTAATGTATATCACACTAATCTTCTGTTTGCTATTGATCTGAAAATTAATCTAATTGTGTAAATGTAAAAAAGATATATGTGGATTTATGTGTAGCAATACGCCAAAAGCAAATAATATTTAACTATAAGTTTGCTATTCTAGCATCGTGGATAAGATATCTATTACTATATTATAAGATATCTTTATAATAATCTATTACTATATTGTGAATTTAAAAAGATATAATAGATCAATTAAAGATAATTGCATGTGGTTGAAGTGGATTGAAAAATGAAATCAATTCCAAACCTAAGCTTTTGTGATTACATTACACTTTTGTTCTACGATTTGTTGTAGAGAATAGAATTTTAGGAGATAAGAAACGTATCTTGAGATTGATTGCAATGAAGTTTAATCGTATTGTAAGTATGCTTAAATTGTAAGCTTAATCATTGAACTTTTTGAATAATGTAATTGAATGACTCAAAATTTTGAGTCCAAATGAAATATGACTCAATTTCTTAAGTTTTATGGCTTTGCTCACTAGGTTAAAACAAAACAAATTCTCTCCCTCTCTCTTCTTCTTCTTCCCCCTTTTGTCTCCCTCCTCCCTCCCCCTCTCCTTCCTTCTTGTTCTTACCTTTCCTCTTTTCTTTTTCCCTTATTCTTTGACCTCTCTGCTCTCCACTTTCAGATTCAAGAATCCTATCAAGAGCGAGAAATAGAGCACGAGCAAGATTGAGAATGTGAGCGAGATGACAATGCACAAGAGAGAGACTGACAAAGCATGGATTGGCAAAGACGTCTATTATACTTTCACATGTTGCTGGGTATGAGAAAAAAAAAAAATATACCAACCCAACCCAACCCAAAGTGTTTGCAAAGTTCTTGAACTTTAAGGAGTATAAGAAAAAAAAAAGGAAAAAATTCATGGTGTTTAATTGCAATGAAGAGGTAAATGAAGAGGTATATTGTGCAAATATTCTCAGATTTCTTTCTTACCACATATTTCAAAAGAAAGCCGGGAGTAAGTTTCTCCATTCTTAAAAGGGTGGTACGTCAGCTACAGCCACAGCCACATCCAAGAAAAGTAAATGCAATCCGAATATATTGAGAATCGTAATCCATAGACACTAATTTGGAGAAAAAGTGCTGTACTTTTTGTATCTAATAAGTTTTTACCATATTCAAAATTCTTAAAAATTAATTAATACATAAAATATAAAATTGAATTTTATGTTTAATAGGACTATACGTTCAATCCACTCTGAATAAGCCAAGAACATATTTAACACAATTAAAATTTTAGAGATATCTTAGCAATCATCTGAATCTTAATTTTGTCCCCATCATCTGAATCTTAGCAATCATACACAAATTCTTGGGTTAATGTATCAATAACCATTTTTTTAATATGAAGAACACCTCAGGAATCTGTTCAATCCCTCAAAATCAATAAAGCCACAGCCAATTCTGGATATCCATTCCTTCTACCAAATGATTCATAATAACAGTAGCTCATTTAAAATATTGTTGGTATGCTATTAAATTCATAATAACAGCAGCAGCCACAGCTCTGGAACACTTCAAAATGCTATCCAACAAAATTCTATCATATGCAAAGCTAATCTCAACAAAAAAAAAAAAAAAAAAAAAAAAAAAAAACAAAATAAATTCCATATTATTAAAAAAAAAAAACAAAAACAAAAATTCGACCTGTTTTCAAGTAGATCAAAGTGGGCTGGCTATACAGAAACTTTTGCCATAGAAAAATCCTACAAAACTTCTTATTACCTGTAATCTAAAACCTCAGCAACCAAAATTTTATGCCATTTATTTCTGATAATCAACCTCTGATAATGCAGAGAAATGGAAGGAGGAAGGAAAAGGCTAAAAGAATTGCACCTTGCCTGATATGATAATGGGAGGGTTCAGTTCCAGCAGAGTTGCTTTCCCCTCTGATACTAACTGTGGTAATGAGTTTGCCTCTTTTGCTGCAATCCCTTCTCTAGTCCATAATGTTACATGCGGCCACTCATTTTTCGAAATCACTCTTTCATCCTCAATGCTGCCAACCCGAGCTTCGAAGGCAGCCATTTTATCTGAAAAAAGTAGGGCTGTCAGCTCAACTGGAACTTCTTTGTTTTCGAAGATGCCGTAGTCAGCTACAGCTTTAATGCCATGGCTTCTTTTGTGTGCGAGTGTGACATGAGCGCTTTTAAGTGTGTAATCCTTGTAGCCTTCTTTAATGAATGCTTCAACCTGAGGATTTTTGTTGCCCAACTGCACAATAATGTTGGAAAACGTAAGGATACACATTGTGGGACTTGGCTTGTGCATATTGATGAAATTACAGATAAATAATGGATAAAGGATAACATGGAAAAATATCGGAGCAGATCACAAATAAAACCAAAAGGGAAGCTAATAATGATTATTTGAAGATTTAACCAGAAAATTTTCAAATCCGAACAACTTAGCTCGTGGATGTATACTTTTCTATGAGGACTACTATTTTTCCTCCCAAGTTATCTTATCCACTATGTTTCAGTCATAGACTATGGAACTTGCAAGATGTTTCGAATATTGTTTAACGGTCTGTTAGAAGTCGGGAGAAGGATTTAGAAGCTAATTTGGCAAACTACACAGAAAAGGAAGTATTATAACCTATCCGCTTAAGTTTTGTTGGGTCTTGAACCAATTTCACTTAAAACCACGTTGAAAAAATATCCATGGGCTACCGGCTGTGGGAGCCAAAGTGGTTTGTATACATGTTCACTTACCGTGTCGAGAGCATTTTGGATCTCCTGAACAGGAAGACTAACAGCAGCATACACTATGGTCGCAGACTTCCTCTCTGTAATAGGGCTTTTATAGTCACCCTTTGAAATCTTCTTTAATTGCTCCAACACATTTTGAACAGAAAACTCAAATGGAACCTGGATAATTAACATTGATTATTTTATTAATATAGTTTGATACAAACTAAATGGAAGCATGGATAGATAAAGAGAAGTAAAATGCACCTGAATAGCATTGAGATACTCAGCGTTACCAAACAAAGTTTCTCGCAATTGCTTCTCCCATTCCGCCCATTCTTTCGCGTAAGAACCTTTAGTAGAGTCCGTCCTGCAAAAAAGTTCCAGATTTACATAAGAGGTAGCTGACAAGAAAGCACATTGCAGATCATCTAGTGACATTCCTATGCTAGAAACTTCAAGTCAACAAAGTTCAACAACTAAAAATACTTGAACAAGCCACCAACCATCCATGTCTACTAGTATGGAGCTTATACAGACTTAATCCTTCCTCTAAGATAGTCTTCAAATTGTCAGGTAAAGGACTCCTGCAGTCCAAGAACAGCAAAATATTAGATGTACAAACTCAGAAAACACTCTCAATATTTTGCAGATGGAAAAAAAAAAAACCAGTTAATTTTTCAAATAATAAATTTCGCTCTCGTATGACATTTCTAGGAAACGGGTTGGTTTTTTATGGTATGGATTTGGATCCCCTTCTGAATTTTAATTTGATTAAAAATAATATTTGGAAACAAGAATTGTAGCGCATGGGGAGGGGGAAATAATGAAAAATAAGACCAGTGCTGAGGATCAGGTATTATACCTATCAGATTTCAGCAATGGAATCTTAACCAGAGACCCAAAACGATCGATAAGCTCACCTTCGAACTCTCTACGACTCTGAAAGCATTAGAGAAAAAATGATCAAGATACTAAAAGCGAAACCGAGGATGAAATGGAGCAATGAGAACTGCTCACACCTTGCCCTCATAAAAGTGATAAAACATTAGTAGGACATAGCCTGCATTAGGGGACGCCTTGTCGAGATTTCCCTTCAGAATCACAGATCATTAGTAGAATCATTAGAAAGAGAGTAACCCAATCAATGATGATAAATGAGATACTTTTACTGTTTGAAGTATCAACATAGAGTGCATACTGGATGGTTAACTCTTTGCAGCACACGGAACATGAACACAGCCAATGCGTCAAGGGAGAAAGGGTTAGAATCAGTTCCTGCACATTCAGCGACAGTAAATGAGAATTCTTCTGTGAAATGTGGAGGGCGAGTAACCAAAATAACAGTTTCCAGTAATGGCATAAATGATGTCAATAGGCACAATCCCCTTTATCAACACAACATTTGCAACAGAATCAACATAAACTCCTCATTGCCATGAAAAATCACTATTGGAAGAGACAATGAGTTGGAAGCTAGAGACAATTATATTCACATCAGTCATGCTCTCCATAATTTCCTTCTATTACCTTTAGCATAATTGGGTATAGCAGCCTCAGATTTAAGAGAAGCCAACCTTTAAGGTATCACTAGTTTTCTTTATTTCTTTCCTTTATTATCATTAGTTTCTCTCTCCAAGGTCTACTTCCCCATGTTTTATACTCCACAACAAAGCATTTTCGAACAGCCTTTCTGATCTTGTTCCGTCATACCACAGATGCTGGAAACATATTAAACCAGAACCAGCAACACCAAATCATTAATGATTCATCCAAATCATTTCTCAGTTCTCCTCACAAGTTCAAATTCAATTGTCTGAATTGCATGCAGGATTAAAAGCAACTTTTTTCAAAAGGCATCCCCATATTTTTTTTTTAGGAGGAAACTTTTGATTTCATTGGTGAGTGAAAAAAGGCATCACAATATTAGTATAGTCCATGAACTTTCTGTTGATAAAGCAAGTTTCGTGCAATTAAAGAAATAACTTCTCTAGACATATCATGAGACAAGGAACTGAACGTTATAAGCATCCAATGATTATAACCTTCAGAATCAGGTATAACTGGAACTGCAGAGGCTCCTGTGCTATGGCACATATCTTCAATCTGCACAAAAGCAGTTTCTTATAAGGAGTTGAATAAAAACGTACACAGTTCAAAAACAGAACATCCTCAAAAACTAACACGGCCTTTTGGCCTCTCCCATCACAAAATAGATGGGTCTCTTTTTGTAAATAGGCTTAATAGAAAATAGTCATCTATTTTATAAGAAATACAAAATATAGCAGAAAGTAAGACATTCATTCAATCATGATTTTTCGGGATTGACATCCTGTGTTTAAACAATCAATACTTTAAGAAACAAGAGAATCAAATATATTTAAAATGTCAAAATGAAAAAAAAAGTTCTAACGAAGTTGAAACATATGCTAATATCAATAAATTGGATAGCTTTTTTTCAACTCCTTTAACCAAAAGTGATAGTTATAATAAAAGTGGCCTATCTATGAAATTTCTGAACTAGATTCAATTTTCCTATTCCAAGGTGCAGATTGATTGGAAGGACTAAGGTCCGTCAGGTTGAAGATATGACAAAAATGGCCTTATCAAGTTCATCCAGAAGCTGGAAATACGAAATGGGTATAGCATCAATAGTCATATTGTATAAATATTTGAGCTAGCATCAAATTGACTATAAATAATTTTGAAATGCAATATGCTGATACAGTGGTCCATGGACATACACCAAAGAGGCTCTATGAATAAATTGGACCCGTCCAAGATATAATATCAAATACCAAATTTGATTTCACCTTTAATTTCTATCTTTGGAATGAAACAATGCTTACATAAAACCGAAAAGAAAATTCAAGGGACAGAAGGATTAAGACGACAAGAACAGAACCAAAGAATATCCTCCGACGTCAAAATCAAATGCTATCACCACAAGTTCCAATGATACATCTAAAAGGAATATTAGTGAGATAGTCAAACTGTAGGCCACAAAGAAGGAACTTAAGTATTACAAGCCACAACTAAAAGACTCTAAGGACTCTTTTTACTTTCTGGAATTTTCTT